CTTCTACTACCACCACCACCACCACTACTACGACGACGACTACCACTACTACTACCGGACTGTTAGCAAAGCACAGTGACAGGAAGGGCACCCGATGACCTGTGCACTTTGTGGCTTGGCGGGCCTTTCAGAGAGGTGCCAAGGGTGCTGCCGACTCTGGAGTTGGCCTCAAAGATTTTTTAGGCAACCACCAAAGACACGAAGTGCTCACAGAGTCGCAGTCGCAATAATGGCAACCGCCACATCATAGCCGAAGAAAGCAGAGCAGCAGCTGCAGTACCGCAGTAGTTGGAAGAGGAGCAGCAGTAGCTGTGGCACAATCAAAAGGAGAGTCGTGAGGCACCGGCCCCGGCAGCTGGCCCGCACGTTGGTGGCTACTGTGAACCGACGGGCATGCGTGCCAGCTGGACGCAACACCCCGGCAGCACTGCAGCCTCAGCAGCCGCAGTAGCAGCAGTGCAGAGTCAGCAGGTCACCTCCATCTGCGACCTGGGTCGAGAAAGCCTTTTGTCGTCTGTCAAGCGTCGTGGTCTGCTCGCCCTGCCCCGGACCCTACGACCGCGACGGCAGTCGCCCGAGATGCCACGCCTCCGCTACCTCCTACGGAAATCTAGGAATAATCTGCCAAAACCACGAAAACAATCTCCGTTCAACCAAGCCCTTTGCCGGTTGGGAGATTTCTTGTGCACCTGGGTGTTTTCAACCATCCAGGGCAAAAGCTAGGTGCTAAAAAGTTCGTGCAAACCGGCCAGGTTCCTCATGCGCCTGCCTGGCTATTGTGCAAGGCAAAGACACGAGCAATCTCCTTCATGGGCACACCGCCCTCCTTGGCAGCATTCCGTGCTACCTTTATTTGTGCAACATCTCCACTAGCCGCAGCAGCAGCCAGATTGTCCAGGAGGACGTCGTGCTCTTTCTGGGTCTCGGCTTTGGTCACAAGAAGGTTATCCAAAGCTTCTTGCATGGCCCTTTTCTCCTGGCAAATGCAATCTAAGCTTGACAATGGCACAACGGCAGCGGCGACGGGTGCCTGAGCAAAGCCCATCTGGTCGGCTTCTTCGATGCAATTCCGGAGTTTTGTATCCTTTCCGTCCTCAGCCCCAAGGCAACCACCAGCACGAAGCCGCTTCCAATCAATGAGCAATGACTGACGACTGCAACTCACTGCAACGTTCCGACATGATCAGTGGCAGGCTTAAATCACATGCATGTCGAGGCTGAGGTGCGGCTTTAGCGGTAGACGCCCGCTGAAGTAAGTCCTTGCGCACTGCCTGCCGTGAAGTGAAGTGTCTTGCCAGGAGACATCCAACCAACACGGCCGCGGCACCTCGCGCTCGCGAATTTGTCGCAGTTCCCGCTCTGCGCTGGAAATCGCCTCACCGCCGAGGCCGGCCCTGCCAAGGTGATTTGCCAAGCGGGTTCTCTACTGTAAGCCTCCCGGGCCCATGCACATGGGCCTCTTCGCGACATGCAGCGCATCGCCGAGCGCAGCGGCATCGCCTGCTGCTGCCGCCCGGTGCAGCGCTTTGACCTGCAGCAAACCAATCCATCTGAAGGGCGGAACCTGGAGCACATTTTCGAGGTCAACGGTGGGGCCTGCTGCTGCCGCTGTTCAAGCATTTTGCAACTCAATAGTTGCCCCAGGTCAGGATCGGCGGTCCTTGACTATGCAAGCAGATGGAGGCCGGCATACAAGAAACATCGGCGTCTTTACGGTCTCCAAGGCACAGCATCCAACCACCTCCATCCTCGGCACAAACCTTGATCCATCCACCGTAGCCTGCGAAGTCATTTTGCATTCCTCCATCATACTCTACTAATACTATATTCTATATATTTCAATATATACTAGGAATAGACTATATTGTATGTATTGGCTCGGCAGACCTTGAGCATCGGCGCGCACCTGCTCGCCAAGCTTGCGTGTCCCCTGCCCGGCAAAGGCCAGCAAATCGAAACCCTGCAGAACGCTACGGTACCACACAGCACCACACCACACAGTACCCGTCAGTACCCACAACCGCAAGCTTTCCGGCCTGAATCGGCCGACTCTTGGATGGGGCAGTGCGTACGGCCACGAGCGGCTTGTAGACGACTTCAAAGACCAGCGGCGTCGACGTAGCTTGCTGTTCAGGGAGTACCAAGCTCGGCTGCTTGCCGACGGCACTGAGAATCTTTCCAATTCCTTGCTTGCCGGCCATGTCTTTGATTATGTACCCCGGCTGCCCATACAGCTTGATCCAGCCATCGAATGTTTCTTCGCAGGCGTGTACCGTCTCACCTTGGTCCTTCTTGCCACAGAGCGGCGAGTGCAATGAAGGGTCCTGCCGCACGTATGCAAACTCGTGAACCACACGGTACTCCTGCGTGGGCAGTGGCGGCAGGCTCGCCGAGGTCTGCGGCGACGGGGCTGCGCGCTCGGGCGGTGCACTGGCACGCGCGACGCGTGCGGTCTCTTCGTCAGACACCTTTTTGGCATGCTGCCGCAGTGCTCGCGCCGTCTGGTCTGTGAATGCTTTCTCACCTGCAGTCTTGAGCCTTTGGTTGACACCGGATGAACCCTCGGACTGCAACGCGCGCAATAAGCTGGGCAAATCCACAACAGTAATCTTGGACAGCTTCTCACACACAGATGTAACCTCCTTGGCCGACCAATCCGGTTTGGCAGCTTGCAAAAAGCCGGCCACAGTCATTCCCCCGTATGCCTTGTTTGCATTGCTGCCCGAACGAGCTGGGAAGGGCGCTTTGGGCGCAGTCGTGGTCCGCGGGTTCAGGTGCACCCAATCCACTCGATCGGGTTTGCCATTTGCAGCGTAGATGAGTATGACCTCATAGCGGGCTCCTGCGACTGCCTTGTCGTTGGGATGCTTTCCGATGGTCCAGCTGTACCCCTTGCTGTTGTCATCTGGGCCAGTTAGGCGATGGAACTCGTGTGGATGTGCATCTGCGCGGTCCGGATGAATGCAACGCCCAAGCCCATCACCCGGAACGAAGAGCTGAAAGCTTTCGCTGGAGCTTGAAGGTAATTGAACTTGAAACTTGTGGCAGCGACGCTTCGGTTCCATCGTCATCCTTTGCGGCTTCCAGCTGCTCCAGCTCCCTGCAATGTCAATGGCCATCCCGGAGTCCACCCGCAGAAAATCGGGGCTTGGTCGGTTGAACGAACTTCTGCGTGGAGGCTCTGACTCCTCTACGCTGACCCGAGTGGGGTACCCACTCTGTTTCTCCTTCGGCTTGGCTTCTGGAATGTCTCGGTTCTCTTCCAAGATTAGATTCTTGGATTTTAAGAGCTTGTCGCCCAAATCACCATCCAGGCGAACCTGCCATCGATCGTTGTGAAGCTTCACCAAGGTGCCCGTGGCCGAGTTCAGGGTTTGTTGCTTCTCCAGTCCGACGACCCGCACTCGTGCACCCGGACTGAAGCTGGCACCAAGTGCACCATGAACTGCGCTTGCCAAGGCATCTCCGGTCACGGCCGTGTCTTTCCTGGCTGCAAGGAAGTCTAGTGAGTCTAGTGAGTTCGGCCACACTGACACAGCGTTCTGTCCCATCTAAACGTCTGCGGAATCCTATGTCAACAAACACACTGAAGGATCCAGCCCCCGCCACTCAATCACTCCGAAGTGTCGCTTGCGATCGCGACCCGGTCCCCACATTGGCAGAGAAGCTGTGTACTCCACCACTGCGGTTATTCTCCGGCCGCGGCCTGCTCTAAGATGATATCCCCGCATGCCCACATGACTCCAACGCACTCGCGAACACACCGACCTCCGCGCCGGCGGGCGGGCTGACTCTTGCGGGGCAGCCTCTGCAGCAGAGCTGCGGAAGGCCTCAGAGAGGCAGCTTAACTTTCCGCAGGTCAGCCGATCGTTGCAAAGGACATTCACACAGTGTTTACCTTGGTGCCTTCCCCGGAAATGTCACGGAATACTTCGCGATGCTTTCACAATCTTCAGAAAATGTCCACACTGCCATTGTAATTGTCAGAAGCTGCAGCACACTGAAACAGAAATATCGAGAAGAAACGAAGCAGGCACTGACAAAAGAAATACTGCAGGATAAGTACTACAGCCTCACATGAGCGGGGGTGTATGCTGCACCATACAATATGTGCGAAATCGATTGCTGCTGAGGATCCTCTATGAACTCCTCTTCCGCAGTCAGCTTGGAAGTTCGCCCAGTTTTGTCGTAGTTGGCTCGCGACTTGGCATTCGACAGGACCTCCAGGCAGGGCTTGGCACGCTCCCAAGAAGAAATCAGCCCAGACTGCCCGCCGCTCCCCACAAGCCTCGTAGGCCTTGCTGAGCCTGGCGAACTCTTCGGGATCACCCCCCCGATCTGGATGCTTTGCCAGCGCCAACTTTCTGTATGCCTGCACTAAATCCAACCACAACTTCACCAAGCGATCCTGCTTTGCACAGGCACCTGCCGGATCTCCGAGGACGATGCCCCAGGGTCCACACCAAGGATCTCATAACACGACTCACTCTCATCTGGCTCCGTCATCGCTCGGGCAAGTCACGAAATGCAGTCTATAGAGCAGTCTCGGCTGTGTCTAGATTCTGGATGTCGGTCGGTGCATCAAAAGCAACATGCCATGACGTGGTCTACAATCTCCTCACAGAACCTGTAATCAACCTTCCTCAACAATCGAGAACAAGTCTGGATATCATGCTTGACTTCATGTACCTCTCATACAGCTTCCAGCCAAGTGAGGCCGGCGAGGGTTGGCAGGCAGATCCAATTTCAGTAGAGGGCTTGACCCCAGACAGGACAAAGCAACACTGCATGCCTCTGGCCAGGGCATTTGTTGAGGCTCCGGCAGGACAGACCCACTATGGCCAGTCTACGCGCCGAGCCAAGCTATAGCTATAGCTATAGCGGAGCCGAATATGTGGACCGCATATCTTTGTCACACAATAGGACTGCAAATGACTGCGCTACCCTTTGGCCTCTGAGCCAAGCATCACTCGAAATACACTGCAAACAGGCACACAGGGCGAAGATGCCTTGCCAATACCCAGGAACATGTGGAAACACGAAGCGGCAGCAAACTGAATAAGCAGACCCAACGCTGTCCCAAATGCCGCAGACTCGAGGCCAAGACTTTCGATTCCATGATCATTACCAGGCTGCCCCTGCAAACCAAGTGCACAAGAGCCATGCGTGGCTCCCTGCCGCAACGACGGAATAGCTAGCAGGCAGCGTCCGCACTATTGCGGCAGGAATGCCTCCGCCTCCTGGAAAAGTGCCTCCACAGGATTCACAGCGCATCTCAAGGAAACACTCCCTAATTAGACTGGAGCTGTTTCAAGTCTCACCCTGAGCTTAGCAAATAACTGAGCAACGTAAATGAACGACTGGTCTTGCGTCCATGATTTCGATCGGTTCCCACCTCATAGAACAGACAACATAACTTAGGAGTCAGGATTAGGGGGGGACCCTTGGGGACATGCCCGAAGAAGGCTTTTGGAAGGAGATTCAGCCCTTAAATTTTCCTGCCCATGCAAAGACAGGCGGCTTGTTTGAACAAATTGCGCGATCCAGATATTGACATTGATTCCCCAACTACCAGGGACAAACCGGAAGGACGATCGTCGAACCTCTGCATCTTGCAGCAGCTGCTGTGTGCCACGCTCCTCCACAACAGATGCTACAACACGCGGTGTTACTAAGAAATCGTGCCTCGGCAGAAAAATCGACAAGTACAGACCGGTAAGATCAGGCAAAGGCTACCTTTCACTTACTGTCTGTCAAGACGATCAATGTCAATCGGTGTGCGATTGCGAGTGCACGAGATGCGCAAATATTGGTGCTACCGGGTCCAGGAATGTCCAACAAGACATAAACCAAAATACTAAGTGGAGTTACATGCTGGCAGGGACATCCCATTTTTGCAACAACTGTTGTCGAGCCCTCTGTGCCTTCGGATCGTTAGATTCACAGCAGGATTACAGCTCTGTGCTCGAACGCAGTTTCTGCTGGAAGCGACAATGCGTTCAACATGAAGCTGTCGCGATGGCTTTAACCTTGAGACGTCCCTCTCAGGCAACCGTTGGGATGGTTTGGACGAGTTATTTTTCGAAAAGTGAGTGATTTACAAGCGATTTGAAAAAGTGATTTGGATTGTTCGTGCGCCGGGGCAAAGTGGTTTGAAAAGTGATGTGGAACATTCGCAAAAGTGACATGGCTACCAGAAAAAGTCATGCTGAGGTGATCCGGGCTACTCGCAGAAAGATTTTGAAAAATGATTTGGATGTGATTCGAAAAACGATTGCAACGTGATTTCCCCGCATTGCGGAAAAATGATGTGCGGCCCGAAAAAGCGATTCTAAAATGATTTAAGGCTTGAAAAATATTTTCCGTTTTTGATTTTGGGGTTGTGCATTGGATCTCCTACGATTTACATACCTTTCAAGGATTCATTAAGGCGTGCTTCAGTGACTCTGGCTGACTACCCCAAATCGTCTTGCAAACACTTCCACTTGGACATCACTTTTTCAGGCCTCAGATCCGGTCTCCAGTCTTTTCTCCCGAAAAGTGATTTCCAAACTGACTAATGAAGGGATTGAAACAAGCGATTTCCAAGTATTCTGGGTCGAAAATGCAATTTCCAAGTGGTCTCGGGCCTCAAAAGATTATTTCACACTGATTTGGGACTTCCAGCAGTGATTTCAAAGTGATTGAAGGCTTGCCAAAGTGATTTCAAAGTGATTGAAGGCTTGCCAAAGTGATTTCAAAGTGATCAGGGAGTTGCATATTGGATCTCCGAGGATTTGCATACCTTGACAGGATTCACTAAGGCTTGCTTTGGAAATGGTGACTGTATGGATTCCGTGCTTGAAGCGGAAATCTGCGTGCACCCTCCCCTCCGATCACTTTCATTTCACTTTTCGCCCAGCCAGCTTGCTCTTTTCCCGTTTCCCAAATCTCTTTCAAATCACTTGTTAAACACTTCTCAGGACACTTGAACTCAGCTTTCCGAGACCCGGGTTTTTGCAATTACTTTTGCAAGTCAGTTTGAAATCACTTTAAAATCATAACATAATTTGTTTAGTTAACACTTTCCAATGGTTGCCAACCGTCGGACGTCCCAACTTTAACCAGCTTCAGTCACAAACAAATCCTCTGCCAAATTGTCTTGTAGAACAGCCTTAGCGAAACAGGCCGCAATGATCAACCAAGAAGATCTGTGCCGTACAGAAATGCAGGAATCAACATAGCAGTGCCACACTGTGAGAGCCGGGCCAAAACATCCACATCCGCCTGCATCAGAAACGTTGTCACATGTCTGGCGGAGACTTTTTTGGCTGCGCCCGCATGAATGTCAATGCTCGCTGGGCTTGCCTGACCATCCTGGCCCTCGTCGGACAGGTGGCGCAGTTCGTCGGCAGTTCTCTTGGGTGAAACCTGCTGCGCAAGCACTCGGGAACGAAGCCGATTTGGGCAGGCTGCAACATTCAAGTCCCTTCAGAGCACCACATCACGCAGCTAAGCTTCAAGTATCACATCTGAGACGCCGGCCACCTCAAAGGAGTCAGCCGAAGGCTCCTCAAGCAGCGCCAAGGCACACTACAGTGGAGATGCATGGCAGAATAACCAGGAGCAACCACGGGAAACTGCCTACAGCAGAACCAACTCCCCGGGGGCACCCCCCGCCCTAGAATCTCTTCACAACTCGACACGATTGATCGGCACATCGGCTCAATATCTGTTATCTTCACAAAACGAACAACACGGCCTTGTCCACCTGGATGGAAAGCTGCTTCGCGACCTGAGCTGCAGGAGTATGCACACAAGAAGCTCGAAGCCCGCAACGAACAACCGGCCCAGAAGCAGCCGAAACTGCAGGAAATCTATGCGAGCAAACACTGAGAGTGTCCCACTCTTGCCGGTTTGGTCTCTTCCGCCTCTGGTGGCCTGTTGTCAAGAACATGTCTGTTGTGAGAGTGCTGGGACATGACTTCCACGTCAGATGCAGGAGAATGACAAACGAGCTGCCAAAAGCGCGTGCCACCGGAAGTGATAAGAGTGCTGGCCTGCTGACAATGACAGGGTTGGGATCGACCAAAGGCTGTGGCCTCGCACGACGGGTGCGGCTACCAGCTGACTTTGGCACTCTGTACCCCCGCCACTTTCACATGCATTCCACTTGGTCGAGGGCTTGGGTGGTGGTGGTGTCACTTGCCACTTCTTGTGCCTGGTCTGAGCATTCCGATGAAACGTGCTGTGCAAACTGTAACCGGATGGGATTCAAAAAGTTCTCCCACCACAATGAATGGTCTAGGCTAAACCAATGCTGAGAGAGATGCGGTTTCAGCTTCGTGACTGGGCCTTTCTCCTCCGACTTGGTGTGCTTCAAACATTGTTACACCACAACATGTCACCATTATGTCTGCACCTTGCCAACTGCAATTTGGAGTCCTTCAAGACTGTCAAAGTCTTCACATCGCCGGCCTGCACAAACAGGGTCATGCGAGAAACCAACCAAGAACCACAGCCAGCGTGTGGTAGTATGATTGTGTTGTTGAGCCGCACCCTCGTGGCACAGTACCACGCCGTTCGACCATGTTTATCCTGCCCAAGTGAAAACCCGCTCACAGTCAACCGAGCAGCCAAGCCAAACTCCGAGATCCTGGACGTTGATGAGCCCAGGATTGGCCTCACATTCCACAAGTTGACGCTGCTGCTGCTGCTGCTGCTGCTGCTGCTGCTTCACATCCTTGTCGCTCACTCAGGGCCCGACATGGTCTGTGAGCCATCTTGCAACTTCATCCAACCCAGCATGTGCCGCGGTGTGAATGGCAGATTGGCCTGGCCAAGTAGCGGCCGCATTCCCACACGAACACTTTGTCTGGCAGGCACGGAGCCTTTCTTGTTGAGAGCATTGATGTTTGCGCTGGCCTTACTTAACCTGAGGCAACCAGCGACAGATGACCAAACAAATGCTAAAGAGAAGGCCCCTTCGTGCAAGGCATGCATGTCGCACTCCATGCCCACAGTTGTGTGGACATTACGTTCCAAGTTCATAGTGCTGCTGAATGATGGCAACGATGAGTTTTATTCGCCTGCACAACGTCAATACAGCGAGGTCTCTCTTCCTATGCCACTCTAGGCGAACCTATGCTGTTGCAGTGGCGACCGGCTCGGCCCCGCCGCTTCGGCAAAGGCAGCTCTGGGCCCGCTCACGTGTGGCGGCGCGGGCCACGGGCTGCCAAGGGCCGTGTTGGTGACGTCCTGTTGCACCGCTACGGCCAAAGCCGCGCACCACCTTTTCGTGGCTGCCGGGCAGCACCGGCACGAGGGTTGCATCGCAGCACGGAGGCGTTGCTCCATAGATCGCGAAGTCAAGGACACCAAGGCCAGTGGTGTTGCAGAAGCATTGCTGGGGGACTACTTAGCCGTCAGCCCCAACGGCTTCGCGCGCGAGCCTGGCCCATGCTCGTTCGACGACTATTGTTCGCCGAGATTCGCCGAGAGAGGAGCCCTGTGCGAGGGCCACGGCATGATCACCGAACTCGTCGACGAGCCCGCCGCATCCGGGAGATGGGCCGCCCGACTTGTGCGAAGAGGTAGTAGGCGGCGCAGACGGCGCCGGAAGGCGAGCTGCATGGCCTGCGGAAACAGTGTGGTGGCAGGCTCCGCTGGTATGGCTGTCAACCAGGCACTTGCGTGCGGCCCAGTTTGAGGATGCAATGGCGCTGCGGCAAGGTTGGTGGCAACGTGCGCTCGCGGAGGTGAAGGTTGCGAGTTCGCGACGCACCATGCTGCCAGCCGTGCGCCCAATCTCCCGGTGGGCGAGCGCCGTCCGTGATTGTTCGCCAGGAAGGGCAATCCTGCCAGCCTTCACCTCGAAGGACGTTGCGTGGAGAGGGAAGGGGAGGGAGAGGGAGAGGGAGAGGGAGAGGGAGAGGGAGAGGGAGAGGGAGAGGGAGAGAGAGAGGGAGAGGGA